TAATTCTTACTAAAAACCTACCTTGATCATTCCCTACAACTAATTCAAGTAGTTGAACTAAGAGATTAGAGCTTGTGGATCGATAGGAGATAAAGGAAGTTTGTGGATTGAAGATCTTTTGATTTTGATGGTTGTTAATTGCTTGAGGATCATCTATTTATAGTTGAGATTGATTGAACCATGATGGTTTGCTAAGTTTTGGTTTTATTCTTGAACTTGGTCATGAGTTGTAATATGACGATTTTTGGTTGTGATGCATGCATGTTGCTTATGAAGGTGTAAAAGGGTTATATATGTTGGGTGAAATTCAGTTCTACATAAGTTTAGAATTGATGTCGCGTCAAGCCCACCTTCATGGTGTGTAGTGTGGTTTCAACCAAGGAATTCTATCTTGTTCGTGTTGGACTCAACATTGATAGTGTTGGGTGTGAAGAGAGAGAATTGTCTATGGTTGAAATCATGTCGGGTGTAATTTGAATGACGTCAAACATGAAGAGATATAGAATCATCTTTGCTTAGATCCACATCGAGCGTTAGTAGAGTGGCACTAGACGTGAGTCAAGTGAAGGTCTTTTACTTGATTAGGGTCGGGCATGGGCTCTTGCCATACTAGGTGTGAGAGGGTGGAAAACTAACTGCCTCAATCACGTCGAGCGTAGTTTGGTGTTAGACATGGGCGAGATAGGGAGCCCCTTATCTCAATAGTGTTGGGCATCCTATGAATGGTGTTGGACGCGAGTTGCATGATGAAAACTTGTTGTTTTAAGTTCTTTTATAGTTGAATGATGGTGAATAAGTTATGTGGACGATGATGTATGATGTATGATGATGAATCTATATGTTGTAAATTGATACATGATTAATGATGTTTATATCGTTAAGTTTCGAGATGATAGATGATTGAGTTGTAAAGTTGTGTATTATTTTAAGTTACTTAAGTTGTTAAGATGTTAGGCATGTGGTGAAGATATATGTCTTTGTTGAGATACATAAAAGTTAGAGGAGAGTAAAAATTGTTTTACAAAACTAAAAATCCTATTGTGTGGATATATGTTGTGGTGCTTTGAGAGCCCAAGTTAAAACCCTTCAATAAGTAAAATGATTTCTAAATGGGTAGTTGTTTTAAGTTGTCTCTCTAACTAATAAGTATTGAAAAGGTATAGTATTTGGAGGATAATTGGTGAGTTAATCTTATATGTGACTTAGCGTTGCAAATTAATTTTGTGGTAAACTCGTATCCAAACTATTATACCTTGAAAATAGTACTAGACTTCCTAATTTTAGTGACAAAACCTGAAAAATCAAATTGAGTTGTTTAACAGACTCTTGAGATACCTGATAGCTAATCTGGTTGAAATAGGTCACATGTTGTGATTCGATCAGATCTAGCTACTTAAACTATTCACCTTTATTGTATGACATCTCCATAGTTAGATAAAAAATTAATGCTTATTGATATTAAAAATTAGTATGTGAAGCCGAGAATGATGTTGAATTGCTTTGGTTTCTTGTATTTAACCATTTTTTTTTATAATTAATTAAGATGATCGGTGGTAAATCGAATTTAAGATGGAAACTTTAATCCAGTCTAAGCGTGTGTTTGCTTATACGTTGAAAACGTGGAAAACCACGTTCAACGTAGAAGCTATTACTAATAGCTTCTACGTTGAACGTGGTTTTCCACGTTTTCAACGTATAAGCAAACACACGCTAATAAAGTGATATGTTGATTGATATAAGTTTGTTATTTACGTAGTTAGTTGCGTGATTGTATATAAAAACATCATTATAATTGTATATACACAGATTTTATTACATTTTCAGTATGTTTTATTGAACGAAATTCCGAGAAGCATTCAACTTGGTGAGCAGTTGAATCTTTGAAGCTTCAGTTGATCTTTTCCTTGCTAGTAAAACTGGAAATAGATTTCAGGATAGTTTTCATTTTTTACTTGCTGGTAATACTATTTTATGATAAGTGGACCATTGAATAAAAATTTATAAAACACCTAACAAAGCAGTGACAAATTACACATCATTGTGCAGGCCTTTTATGGCTATATTAAAATTCAATTTCTAATAAAATTTTCTCAAAATAATTACTACTCCTTATCAATGTGTCCCAGTTTGATTTTCTTAATCAAAGGTATGGCTTGTGTAAATATGTGTCTATCATCCTGAAAGTAGCACAATCTATTGATATCATACATTTTAATTGTGAAATGTCAAAAGTGATTATTACATACCGACAAGTACTGGCACTACCTTCCCTTTATATTCCTTCTACAGAGAACATGCAAGACTACTAATCACAATTTATATGTTGTCTTGATTTACTCTTTGCCTTATTCATGTTTTTGAGCCAAGTACAAGGAAGCCTGAGCTACCAAAATTACTATTAATTTGTTGACTGCATAAAAAAAACCAAAAATATTTACTTACATTGATGTCTTATAATGGGTGTTGGATGATGTTGTACGAACCAGTTTTGAGTTTTGGACAATTAAACTAAGTTCAGTTTGCTTTAAAATATGTGTATATAGAATGCTCCAAATCCAATTGAAGTCGAAGGAAGCATAAATGACACTGTAGTCTCGACTTTGGTGCGAATCCAAAATTTTAGAAGATCATGTGTGAAGACTGTGCTAATCTAACTAGGTTCAGGTTCACTAAGGAACACAACTTTACAAAACTAAATGCTTTCCTACTCCTAATGATGGTCGAGGTATGTAATCTTTTTCATCTTTTGTGACATCTTGGCATTTCATTATAAGACCATGACTATGTTATATTCACAATAGAAACAATTCAATGGTCACACTTAATTTCACCATACTTGGATGTTATTATGTTATTATAATATACCATATTTACATGACATTATGCCACCATTAAGTAAAACGTGGCTTTAATTTGAGTAAATTAGTATTATAAGAGATATTAAATTCAAATATACGTGAATATTTTACCATGACATCAAAGAACATTTTTTTTCTAAACTCTACTTGAAATGTTGAAACTAAACTCGTTACCGAGAGCCAAGTACAAGTTCAAACATTTAAAGGCCAACTACATCGTATTATGACTATCCATACTCATGCTAGTTCAAGTTCTAATCAGAAGGCCTTCTATTCAAAATGGTGGATGTGAACTCATCGAGTATAAAATAAATATGTAAGTCAAAAAGAAGCATTAAAGAGAAAAAGTAATACATAGTGATAGGAAAATGTTGGCCATTTTCATTATGAGCGTTACTTTATAACAACATTATGTCTTAGGTGATACTACATATAATATATTAACATATATACAAACCTTTAATGATAAATAAATAAATAAATAAATAAATAAATATATATATATATATATATATAATCGGCATGAAATATATTTATATTATTAAATTATATGTCATCCTTATATTCATATTACATCATCATCATGTCATGTTTATCTTTGTACAATATCATTCTATATGAAATTAAGTGAAATTTTATGAAAATTAGATTCATGATAATTTTGATAAAAGTGAAAAATAGCTAGGTGAGCAACACTAACTAAATAGTTCATTTCTTATCACTTTATTAATTGATATTTGTGCAAGATTACATTGTTTGGCCTTAATATCTAAAAGAAATTAATGAATAGTACATATTCAAAAGATTAGTATTTGATGTCAAGCATTGTGATAAGGAAGGTGATAGACATTACCCATGACCCATTAGAAAATGGAAGGATATAAATAGTTGCCTATGATTAAAATTGGAGAATGTCATCGCTATTTAATTGCTTGGGTCCTTTCTACCAAAGATCACTAAAGATGTAAATAATTTAAAATGTCAAGTTTGAACCTAAGACCAACCTCAAGCTTAAAATGATCTAAAAGATCAAGTTTGAGCCTAAAATACTTTAAAAGATCAAGTTTAAGCATAAGACTAAGTTTGAGTCTAAAATAACTTAAAAAGGTTATATTGGAGCATAAGGCCAAACTCAAATCTAAAATAATTTAAAATGAAAAGTTTTAAGGTTGAATACAAGTCTAAAATAATCATAAGGCCAAATCTAAGCTTTAACTTATTACTTTTACAAAAGAGGTCAAGTATGAATTAAAATAATTGCTTTTAAAAGGTATCAACTTTCCATTGGTATAAAACATTATTTCTTTCAACTTGACAAGTGGAGGGTTAATTTAATATCGTGTAACATGAAATGAAAGTAGTTGATAAAATGACTAATTATGATTTGTCCCTAAAAGATAATATTTACATATTTGACAATATTTGTAAAAATTAATATTATTCGTATTTTGTACCCTCGTGATATTTTAATTGATTGTGTCTTTAGCATACCAAACTTTTTTGTTTTAATCTTTTCAACAAACATGAAGTAATTTTGAGATTCAAATTTAATATAGACTAATGAAATAAACATGACTACAGATTTGATTTACTTGTTAGTCCTGATTTATGGCTCTTTGGGTATGTAGCTTCAGCGTTTAAGGAAGTAATTGGAGGTGCAAAGTGTAAGGTATGTAGGAGGTGTTTTGTTTCTCTTGGCCTTTAATGGGTTGTTGTGGGTTCAATAAGTGAATTACTGTTAATTTGGTCACAGTAACCGTCAAAGGTGGTGAAAATGTTGAAAGACAACAACACATCAATCTTTTTTCGAATCAAATTCATAATTTCAGCACCAAAGAACAATTAATTACCATAAAAATGCCTAGGTAGAAATCCTAATTTTATAGATTTATTTGCAATAACGAAGCTCGGCATTTTAAGCTATTATAAAGTAGATAACAACAGTTATGTTTCATTATTTTGGGAATAAATTCAAGAATATGAAATTAGACAGTAGCCACACTAGATTAACTTGATTTCATGAAGTTATTTTAAGTCAATAATTGCAATATCTACTTGACCTGAGATTTTTTTTCTGACGTAATCCGGAGAAACAAAAAGCATTAATAATAAGAAATAAGAAAACACATTACATAGACTTGTGTCTATTTTTCTTTCCTCGAGCAAGCAGATGATAACTTCTGCAATTCACGTTTCAATCAAGAAAAAAAAAACTTCATACTGTTTTATTTCTTCTCTTTTCATTGTTTATGACATAATTTTAACAAATCCGTAAATAAAAAGAAAACTATTTGAAAACAGAATGATTTGATATTTATCACAAATCAGGCAAATCGTCAATTATGGCATCTATATCCGGGGTTACAGTAACATGCTTGCTGATCTCCCCAATTGTGCAACAATGTTTTTGTGCACTATTGATAGCAACCACATCTTGGGCAAATACACAATTCATACCTGCGGAAACCTGCAACATTTTTTCCAAACAGAAACGTGCAAGTTTAGCTTATAGAGAAACAACATCACAACAATCAACCTTGTATTAACACATTTGACAAAAGGGTGAGTTGGTGAAATTTCTAAAAAGTGATGATCCAGTAATGTTTTTGATTTTGTGCGTCTCTCATACTATCATATCACTCTTGCGACTTGCAGTATGACTTTTGACAATGTTTAAACTTTATTTTCTTGTTAAAACATTGGTATTGAGTATTTAAAAAGTGATAAAATAACGCTCGGATCTACATCATGTAATTTATCTTGTGAATGCAGAACTTACATCATAAAGGGTATCGCTAAGCTTCAGCTTGACTGCACCACTTCTGTATACAAGCATTTTACCCATGAAGCCGGTAGGTAACTCGCTCAACTTACAGGGCTTCTCCACATCTTTTGAAGATCCAGGAGGTTTAGATTTCACATTAACATCTTGGCCTCCAGCAGTAGCTGATTGTTTAATCATAGGCAACATCGGAGGCAAATTAACCAAGAACATACTTTCCTTTAGGTTTTCCTCCTGCCATCAATTTGTTCAAAACGCTGTTATAATAATTAAAAAAATTTGAACTTAAAAAAATTTAATTCTTAAATTTCTGTTTACATACCAAAAGACCAAGATCCATCGCTTGGTTTGATGCATTTTCATCATAAGTTCTGGACTCTTCAGCCTCCCCAAATTCCTCCTCATCAAGAAGTGCTATCAGAACAAACATGTAAAGTTAAGTCACTAGCCAACTAGATAGTTGCAGAATGTGAAGAGTATATTACTTTCAACCTAACAATGAACTAAATTCTTAACTCGAGTGGAAGAAAAACAAAAGTGAATAGCTTATACTCCATCAATGTTACTATAAGTCTAACCTTACAATTTTGTTATAAGCAGAACAAGTTTTGTTACTAAATAAACTGGTTGGCATCACACAATTAGCTTGATATTAAAATTCCATCCATTGTACTTTGTTATTTTTCTTTTTCTTTTCTCCAAGATAGTTCTTGGAATTTACCTGGGTTTCCGGAATAAGGCCTCCTCAAGGGAAGAGTTACTGGATAATTAGTGTAATAGTCCTGTAACAAAATACAACCAATACTTTAGAATAAAATAAGCATGAACAATTACATCCGCAGTTAAAGATAAAAAACAGTATATCAATTACACAACATATTCATTTCATTGAGTATACTCACCCATGGTTCTTTGTATTCTTTCTGTCTCGCCTCTGCAATTAAAGCATCACCAAAATATTGTTAATAGGAGGACAGATCGTGTGGCAAAGAGCACAACATCTTACAACAGTCTATTAAGTGAAAATGCATTGATGGCGCCATACCACTGAATGTTGAATTCTGGTTGATGTTGGCACCCCTGGGAATACCATATGATTTCATAGAAGTTGCCTCACCACCATAACCAAAAGCAATTTGTGAAGCTGACACTGCAAAGTGCGAACCATAAATATAAAATATGCAATTTTAGAAAATACAAAGAATTATGCTACTGCTGATTTAGTAAAAAGGACTTCATGTCATGCTACATAAGATCTTAACATAAATAGACTAGATACTAAGTATACAAATTATGCTATAGTTTGGCAGATATGAATCATATTCCCAATAAATATTCCTAGTGGTATCAACGTAGTTATTTGAATTGACTTGCTTTGCCACCAGCAATAATAATGAAAGCTGGTTGATTAACAATGGATGTAGGTATCATATGACCTACGGTGATGGACATATTTAAGGAGTTGAACAAAACGAAACAATTTTAAATATGGGAGTGACCAATGGAGAGTGTATGGCAAAAGGAGAGCAAATGAACCAAAAAACAATTGACACCAATAAATTATAGGGTAAAAACAGAGTGTGGAAAAACTGGCACGCAAAACTTTATTGACACCATGATCTATATAAAATAGATAACTAGAGAAGCTAATAAATCTCCTAAAAATCATAAATTTGATAAGCTGAATTAGTCAGCTCCTACTTTATTGTTTTTATAATATAAACAAACTTTAAAAAACTAGGGTCAATTCATAATTGAAAAACACGATGACAGATTCTGATGCATATTCTTCACAATTTCCTCATTGTGCTTCACTGTTTAACAGTCACACAAACATTTAGTTGTTTTGAAGATTTATTAGAGAAGTAAGATCTGTTTTCACTATTAAGTTACCAAGAACAAAAATATCAAATACGACATAAGATGATGAAAACAGAAAACCAATGCTAAAGATATAAAAGCGACACAAAATTGAATCAAATAATTGCAGTAACATATCAAACCTTTTTTCTCAACCTTGTTCTTTGCCTTCATTGCACTCTCCTGCACAAAACAAATAAATAAAAAAGAACATTACAAGAAGGAAATATAGTGATAAAAAAAATGAAATTAAAATGACATATACATTGAAACGACGCAACAGATCCTTAGCCTGGTTTGCTGCAGCAGCATCAGCATCCTCAACCGCTTCACTGTAATAACAGAAAAGCAAAACTAACAAGTAGAAGCAATAAATTAATCTACAATACAGGAAGCATTGTAAAACCAAATGATCCATACGTTTTAACTTGTGGCTTTGGCACTCGTCGAGGTGGAGCTCTTGGCGCAAACTTTACCTGCAATGGTTCAGATTGAATAATTTGAGTATGCGATGTGGTATTGTTAAACAGATTGAAAGCGACGCAACGCAAACCTTTCTTCGGACGCCTAGAGCGTCCTTTGAAGACTCTGAATCCATATAATATGAGAATGAGTGAAATGCTGATCCCAACCAAAGAGAGAAGGATGAATGAGATGAGAGTATAATATAGTCTGTTGTGTATTGTGTTGTGTTCGTTTCAAAGCGACTGGGCAGTTAGGGATCGCCTCCACTTCTTCAAATACTTAAACCTACCTATTTTCTTTTTCAAATTTTGTTTCCCTCATCAATCCAAAAAAAAAAAAAAAAACATAATTTAAATTTGTATTGATCACACATTTTTAATTTTAATTTAAATTTTTAAATACGTTATCAATAATTAAAAATAATCTTATATTTCAATATAAATTATATTTTACATAATTTATATGTTTAAAAATATTAATTTATATAAATTTTAAATTAATATAATCTATATATTGAAATATATATTATTTATTTACATGTATAATTTATTAAAAAATTTGTTTTATTATAATAAGTATTTACTTTAAAATTAATTAGCATAAAAAAGACATTTCATTTTTTTTGTATATTTTTTTTAAAATAAAATCTCATAAAATGATTGAAATTCAATATGTGTGATATCACTGAAATGTGAGTGATTTTGAGTAATTATTTAAAAAGTATGAAAATTTTGAGAAAAAAAAATACAGAAAAATTAAAGAAAAAAGAGAATAAAAAATATATTAAAATAATGTATAAGAGAGAATGAGTTTTGAAAACTAAGAGAGAAAATAGTTATCAAAATATATATACCAAAAAAAAAATTCTTTATTAATAGTATAAATATAAATATAGAAAATGTATCCAATATTTTATTTGTAGAATGATATTTAGTTTTAAATATTTTATAATCTTATTATTTTGACATTTTTTTATATTTATAAAATTATTTTAACTATTCTGATCTTGAAAAAAAAATTATGTGTTTTTTTTGTGAGGGGAATTATGTGTTTTTTTAGTTCATGCTATTAAAGAAATTTCATTAAATAAAGATATCTTTAAATAAAATATCTAATTATATAGAGTAAAATGACTAAATAATTATATGAAGACTTTAAAAATAAAATATCAGACTAAAATAATGAAACCGCCCTGAACCCCTAAGATGGTGTCGCCCTTCCATTCATAAGGATTTCGTCAACGCACGCATTTGGATACGCCTGAAGCCAACTTATCTGACACCCCAGATGAATAAAGATCAAAGTACACTATTAGTCGTGTTATGTTTTTCCTTTTTTTAGCAATACCGACTAATGTTCACTCCTTTGTATTCAGAAACTAATTTTTGCACCACTGACTTTAGAAATAAGTTTATCTATTAAAAGATCAAATTTATTCAAAAATTAGAGAGTAAATAAGTTGGGTTGAGTTAAATGTAGATAAATCTATTATTTAATCTTATTAAAATTTAATAAGTTGAGTTAGATTGAATTTATATTTTTATAAAAAAATTTAACCTAACATGATTACAAATGAGTTTGATTGAATATGATTAATTGAATTAATATAATTATATATTTTTTTAAAAAGTTTAAATATTTTATAATAAATATAAATTATTTGATATTTTATTATAAATATAATGTTATTAACTTATAAAAACAAATAATTACACAAACTTAATTTTAATTTTTTTATATTAATTTACTATATTATTGTCAACTTAAACAATAAACATTAATATTAATTAAATCTTAAAATAAATACGTTCGCATTATTACATTACTGTTAATCTAAAAATACAAAATTTGTTACTCAAAACAAAAATATTATTTTGAATAAGTAATCATTCAAACATTAACTTATTATTATATATGACTGGATCAGATTGAATTATAGGTAAAAAAATATATTACTTGACTCATATAATGTCAGATTTTAATTAGATTGATTTAAGTGTAACTTTAATCTTTAAAAAAATTAATCCAAACTCACTAAATTAATTTAGGTTAGTTCAAATTCGTACGTTATTCGTACTTGATTACACCTTTATTTAAATGATCATTATAAGAGCAAAAGTATTTCTAGATATCTCTCTTTAACAAGAGTATTTTAGGTACTTCTTTTTAATGTCTCATATTTATTTATAAATTATTTTATATATTTTAAAAAAAATTATCATTAATTAAAAATTAATTTATATATATTAAATACAGATTCCCAAAGTTTTAAATGGGTAATTTTAGTCCCTAAAAGATTGTAGTTGTGTGATTTTAGTCCTTCAATTTTTAATTGAATAATTTTAGTCCCTCAAATATCATAATTGTGCGATTTTAGTATCTCCCATTAAAAATTTAAT